AATTCAATAATGAAGTAATTTATATTTGGTTTAATAATATAATTTTCTTATAAAGATAATAATTAATTATTTTGTTAAAACTTGATATTTATCTTAATTATATTTTGGATTTTTTATATTTTAAAATAAGATGTTTATCCTCTATTTGATTATGTTTACCCGTAGTTAGTTACACGAATTCAAACATGGAGCTTCAATAAGTTGTACTTATAAATAATTTACTTGTAATCTTGGATTTTAAGTAATATGCATCAATAAACAGTACTTTATGTATAAAAAATGGTTTTTAAGAATTTTTGTTAAATGTTTTATAATATAGTATAGATATATAAATGCAAAATTTTATCTAAATACGATTGTGAAAACTACAAATGACGTCTTTTAGTGTTTTTTGTTTTTTTTGTTTCGCATTTTAACAAGTTAATGTTTAGTTATCAACAATAATGTAGGTTTTAAATAATATGAGTATTATTGTTATACAAGTTTTCAAGGGACAAAGTTGTCCATTTATAATCTTTATTTTAAATACCACAATTGCATCTACTTGCTCTTTTATTTATTTATTTCCGGGATCATTCTTAAAAAAAATACATTAATTATCGTAAGATACTTTCTAACAAAGTCATATTACGTTATGATTTTTTGTAGATGTCGTTATGGTAGGGGCAATAAGGGTAGAAGATAGGGTGGAGGAGACATTATTGTCGCCACCGGAAGGTAATATGACGTTTTTGGATGGTACAAACTGGTGTGTGGCCTCACCTGGTGCAACCCAATATGATCTACAAAGCGCATTAGACTGGGCATGTGGGTTAGGCATGACCGATTGTAGTCAGATCCGGCCTGGAGGCCCATGCTACCAACCTGACACACTGTTTTCCCATGCCTCTTTCGCTTTTAATAGCTACTACCAACAGAATGGGAATTCAGATGTTGCTTGCAATTTTGGAGGCAGTGCTACCTTGACCAAGAATAATCCAAGTAAGTTTATTTATGTATCAAAATCATCAAATCCTAAAATTAGACCAAACCGAACAAACCAATTAATTTTTTGGTATTTGTTTTGTTTTAAACATAATTGGTCAAAAAAACCGTTATTTCTCCTTTCACGTCAAAAGAGTCAAAATCGAATTGTGTTCAAAATCAAATAACTGTTGTTTGTCTACAAAATGTATCAAGTACACTAATTCATTTAATTTGTTGTAAATGACAGGCTATGGGAAATGCGTTTACGCTGCATCTGGGTAAGCTTCATTCTTTATACTTGTTTTCCGTATATTTGGTCCAACTTCAAAATAATTTATAAAACGTAATTTTATTAAAATTCATTTTTTCAAGAATTTGATGATCATGTTTTGAGTTATATTCAGGCAAGGTTCAATTTGTTTTCAATAATCGTATGTTCTCTTATCATTCTTTCTTTGACATAAAGCCAACAAACATCAACAAGATGAAATGGTTTGTCTGCCCCACCAAAACTTGATTGAAACACATCTGACAAGAAATTTTATGTTTTGATTTATGAACTTTTAACATTTTAATTATTGAATCAAAAAAGTCCGTGAAAACTTTTTCTCGAACAATGAGACGGATTTGGGGGCCTATTTTAAACCTTATAGATATATAGTAGATTGATTCCGGACTCCTGGCTCTAATATTTATATCAACAAACATTTAAGAGGGTGTTTTTTGTATCGTTTTTGAATTTGAAAGCGTTACCCTGCACAATGTCCAATAATCATAATTAAATATTTAGTTGCAAGTACTGGCTCTAGTTAAGCAGCTGACATTTACTTTTATATAATTAGTTTTTATTGTAACAACTTTTTATGTTATTTTCAAATTTTGGTAAAATAATAATAAGTAAATACATTGCTACTTTTAAGTTGTTATAACCATATTTCTGACACATTCAAAATTTGTTAAATCATACGTGATATATCTATATCATATAAAAAGTTATGATTATGTAGTACAAATTTTCAACAATTATATTTATCTTGTGTACCGTTTCTATATAGGGAGTTGATGGTCAACAACCACTACATAATCTTTTGTCAATTATTTGGTTTGTACATAAATTAATTGTACCATGTGACTAACATGTTCAATATCTAATAAATACTTATATCAGATAATATTTATAAAATATAACAGTTCAATTTTCTTTTAGATTTTTATTTATTTTTTATTTTTCTTACTCCTACTAGGCCAGCAAAATCTGGAGGGGGATTGGTATGGAGGTTGAATTGGTGGAAAAGTGGTGGGATTTTATTGCTTTTGTATATGGGAAGTTAACAATGCATTAAAAGGTAGGATTGAGTTATGGTGTCTTTGATCTTGTTTTAGAAATCTTATTATATGTAATTTTTGTTAGATACTTTTGAAGCAAATCAACTTTTATTTTCGGGTTTCGAGTATTAATAAGGTTTATGTTTCAGATTTGATGGTGTTAGTTTTCATTCTTGGCGTTCGTGTTATTTGAAGCATTGAAAATGAAATGAATTATGAATACGAAGGGAATTGGACCATTTGTAAACAAATAAACTTTTAGTGGTTTTGTTTACCTTATTTATGAGCTTTGGGCATGTTAGTTTTTTTTTCTTGCTTATTGAGTTAAGTGACACTCGCTCATAATTGGAAATAACTGAATTGGATAAGTCATCATGTATGTGTGCACATTGAATTATTTTATTTCAGACGGGTCTTAATAAGAAAATAACAAACATCTCATTGGATTTATAATGTTGTTCTTTTTAGGATTTGTGAGCATTGTTTAGCCTAATCTAAACTTCATATCTATCATGGCATCGAGTGATATTTCTTCGACTTTTATGGCACTACATGAAATCAGACTTTTGTCGCAGGCAAAAGTCATCAAATTCGTTGGCGGAAGTCCCTAACCTTTTGCCTTGAAGTTGGGTTGACAAAGACTATTGACTCAGCGTAGCCCATTAATGAGACTTTTGCTAACAAAAAACAAGACTTTCACTTAAGAAGTTGTCAAAAAAATTCGATTTTGATCGAACTTTTTATCGATGGAAAATTACGTTAGGAGAAGTGTTTTTCATTTCTTTTAATTAGTATTTATTTTAAAATTCTTATATATATTTTTTATAATTGATCTTATCTTAGTTTTGAGGAAATAAATAGATTCGATTTGCTGAATTTCATTCTCTGAATCAAAGGTTTTCATGGTATCATACATCAATCAAGTTATTGAGTCATCTTCTATCTAAAAAACCATGTGTGAAACATTGGATTTTCACAACAATGGTCATTGATGAATCCAATAATCACATACAATCATCTCAAATTCAATTTGATCCATTTTCACAAATTAGATCCTCTTCCTCCCCCTGAATCCTACTGTTTCATCATGAAATTAAAACAAAAAAAACTAACCCAACAAATCAAAGACAAAAGTATGATATAAGGGTAGGATGTATGTAGACAGAAGTGGACCTAGACTTTCTTTTTTCAAGTAGTGATAACATTTGACTATAAAAAACTAAGATATTGATATTTTTTACAAAATCATCATTGGTATGCTAGTTAGTTATTTGCTTTTCATGTATAAGATCCAGTGTTCGAGTCTTTTACTGCAATTTTTTTTCCAGAAACATAATAAATATGAAATTAAAAGCTAAAAACAGAGAAAATTACATAAACGGTATTCGAACCCACATTTCGGGTAGGAGAAAAGCCATGCAAACCAACTCTATCAAGAGATCCATGTGTCATCATTGTAGCTTTAAACGATTACACACAACTAAACGATACAGTAACACCTTTCACGACTCATAATTTACACTACGACTGTGGAATGAAGCAGTAGTCCGTGCCACACTATCCAATTATGTACGCGTCTATGTACACAAAATCTTGCTTCTACCTAAAGGATAGAGAGGTTTCCATGAAGACACTGACAGCAAAACAAAATTCAAAAAAAAAAAAAACAAGCAAACACGCTACATGTGAGAGTGGATGCAAATAAGCAGGCATGCAACTTAAATTAAGTTAGGTAACGTTTGTTTTTTAAGAGTTGCTGAAGTCTAAAGTCTGATTTCACTTCTGATTTATAAGAGTTGGTTCTAAAGTCTGAAATCCGGATAAGTAAAATTGGTTGTTTTTACATCTGAAGTCTAAAATCTGAACCGGTCAAACTAATGGAAAAATATAAAAGATAAATAGTTTTTTTTTACAAAAGTATAAAAGATAAATAGTTTTTTTGCTAACAGATATCTTTTAGCCCCCAAAATAAGAACCATTTGATAGAGGACATATTAGGATTAAGAAGTATTAAAAGATACGTTTACCACTTAAAATTTCAGAGAACATTTAGAGTTTTTAAGCTCTTATTTTAAAAATAAAACAAACGTTTTTAATATTCAAACGTCTGAATGAATTAGATTTCAGAAGTATTAAATGGTAATTTTAAAAAAACAAAAACACCCTTAATCATTTTACTTGACAAGATCATAATGGCGCACCCAAATCAATAAGCACAATTATTAGGATAGCATTTTTACAACATCTATAAGAGATTTTCTAAAATAGAAATAAAAATGAGATTTTAAGATAATCTTTTGTTTTAACAACTTCAAGATTATCAAAATTAAAAAAGTATGAGAGAGATGTGAAAAATTTCTCCTTAAAAATAATTGTTTAGGAGAGAAAATTGGTTTTTTTTTTTTTATTATTCTCACTATTAAGAATTCTTGAATTAAATATTCTTTTGAGAAAACATTGTATTTTATTAAATATATTGAATTTTTTAATTATATAATTAATATTATTATCTTTAAAATAAAGAAGGAATTAAAGTTAAATGTTATTTTATTTTTGAAGATTTTGATTTTTAATTTTCTATTTTAAATAAAATTTTAAAAAATCTTTAAAAGATGCACTTAGCTTTAAGAAAGGTGGTTAATAGATGTATTTGTATGCACATCATAAATTCCCTTAGCACACATTACATCATAAATTCCTTTAGCACACATTACAACATAGTCAGTCTTTTTTCTTCTTCTCAATTTCCTCATTGTATTACAAATATAACCTTAAATCAGAATACAACTTTATAGGATTAGCTCAATTAATAATAAAATTTGTATTTTGATTATCCTCCTTAGAGGTTACCGGTTCAGGTCCTGCAAGATTGGCCCTAGGGACTTTTCGATTGTTCTCCAGAACATTTGAGATTTGTTGAGGTGTATACAAGTTGGCCACGATACAAGTTTGAATTTAAAAAAAAAATCTGAAATATACAATCATTATCTAATGTTATACGTGGCTGGAGCTATGATGGCACTAAACTATTCACTGAGGTTGTTCATCGGTTGACATTTATTGGATGTGAGGGGAATCGAACCAATTCAATCATTCATTGGATGTTGGATTTTGCCAACCGATCTGATCCGATTGACGTTGGATGACTGATCAATCCAATACAATGGATGATTGGATCGGTTCGGTTCCATCCATTGTATACTTTTATTGGATATCCAATGGATGATTTATTAGGTTTGGGTCCATCCGATATGTTAATTCAATCTAATTCTCCAACAATGATACAAATTGATTAATCATTTTTAATATGTGTTAAAACAACATAAGGGAAGTTAAAAATTCAAAACCTCACATAAAACAAATTCCGATTTAAGCAATTTGAAAATAAATTAATTGGATGATAGTTGGATGATAGTTGGATGGACAATTGGATGGTCATCGGATGATAATTGGATGGGTAATTGGATGATGATCGGTTCAATGCGGTTCAATTTCGGTCGGTTCTGGACTGTCGTCCAAGAACCGTCTGATCCAAATTGGATGTTGAAAATTTCAATCCGATCCGATCCAATTACAATTGGATATCCAATTATGGTCGGTCGGTTCTAATTGGATCAGTCGGTTCCAATTGGATCGTTTGATTTTTTGCACAACCTACTATTCACCGTACAAATTGATATCTAACATTTAGAAGATAAGTGCTGCATAACCAATGAAATAATTGCATATCTTTTGAAATATATAATATTTATATACAGTAAATGGAACTCACATATTTCTCATCTTTAGTGAGGTTTCAACCTTGACCCCTAGGAAGGCTGGGCTCTATTGGTTACTAAGGTATCCATGAGCGAATGACCCTTTGGTAACAATCTGCATATCTTACTTTACATTATATCTATGACAAAGGGTGTGTGACAACCCCAAACACCACATTTGCATATAACATATATTTCATTACAAAAAAATATAGTTTACACTACAATGGTCCCACTAGTACATGGATTCTTATATGTACAAAATCTACATATGAAAAAATTCCAAAATTAAATCATGTACTATCACATGTATAACAACATGTATCTTCAAAATAAGCAATCTCATGCTGATATTCAAAAATAGATATCAAGTAAGAAAAATAATCACATTTTTCCTTTCCCCTTAATATCCCTGGACTCCGCAGTTCCTGCATTGCATATTTTGAAACACAAAATGAGGGTTAGGCCAGAAGGGTCTAGTGAGTAAATTCATTTTTTGCATATGCAGGGTGATAAACACCAAAACCTAATAAAATAACTTTTTATAAAAATAATTGCATTTCAGCAAAATAATGCATTTCAACAATATGACCAAAATAAGATCAATAACTAACGTCATTCCATAATTCAAATGTACCCTTTTCATACCCAAAATTCAAATCAAAACTCTCAACTTATCGGGCCAGAGCCCTTCTGGCTCAAAAGACCAAAGTCCCTCTGGTTCTAGAACCAGAGCCCCTCTCTAACTTACTAATCAAAGCTTCTGGTTCTACTAACCAGAGCCTCTGTATCAGAGTGACATTAACCAACCAAAGGTCCTCTGGACCAAATAAACCTTAGGTCTAGAAGAGCATAACATCAACTATAAAGATTATTGAACAAGAGTCCGAGCTCCTCTGGCTCTTAAATTTTGTTTATAGATAATTTTGAAGAAAATATATTTTTAAATAATAAAACACAAAACTTAAAATACAAAGCTTCTGTATGAAACATACAGAGCCTTTGATTTATAAAATTCCCAAAGTATCAAAAACCCTTTTTACACAACTAGAGGTCCTCTGGTCCTTGAGTACAACCAACCATAGCCCCTCTGTATGTATTAAAATATTGATAGAAACTTAGAAAATAAATGCCTCTGATGACAAACCATTTTCCTCTTATCAATAACATCTAAATTATTATTTCTAAATAGAACAATATCTCTAATTCATCAAGTCACAAAGAAATGATGTTTTAGAATCATTGTATCTAATTAGTGATAATAACAAGAGCTATAGTAGTAACCACATATGACAATGCCTCCCTTGTTCCAAGTACACCTCTCCTTGATATGACACCCTTATTCCTTCATTAGAACAAGGTTACCTGCCAAAACAGACGAATGTCACCACATCTGGAAGTACCCATCACCCAGTTCCAAGCCAGAACAAACAAATGTCACCACGT